ACTATAAATCATTTCCATATTTTATGTTTAACCAATCCCTTCCATTACAGCCTATAAATGTCCACAACATAGGTCTCTCACATAGATTGCCTCATAGGAAGGATTTTGCCATCGTTGCCACGCTTGGCAGGCGAAATGGCAACTGCAGTTTTTTTTATTATTTCAGTTGTTACTAGAGTGCTGATGCTGCCCATCTACAGTTTCAGTTTCCCTCTGTCGCCGCTTACGACACCCACGGGAGGATATTGGGTAGTAGATATTCTTACACCGCCACCACACGAGAATTATGTTTAACAGTATTAATATTTTGTCGAGGAAACGCTGCTAAAGTCCCATTATACTTGTTATTATTAAAATAAGTTTAAACAAACATGTAGTCCGCCCGACCTTAAACGCACTGTAGCGCATCGTAGCGAATAATTGTTATTGTTTAATAATTTCGCCGAAAAAACTGATTATGTTGTCTGACATAATGTATGGCAACGAATAGATGCTTCGACATTGACATAGTTATGTGACCGCGAGAGTTACAGGCATCTACTTCTAAAGGAAGTGCGCTTTTAAGAATACATATCTTTTTTCTTTCCCATACATTTATATAAATTCTAATTTCTTTAATAATATTTAATATTTAATATACCAAAGTAGAAAGTTTTTCCAAAATATATATATTTATATAATAACGGTGACAAAAGAGCACACAGTCCACCTGATGGTAAGTGGATGCTGTGGCCCATAGACATCTACACTTATCCTCGATTAAGAATCAAAACGCAGATACGTTGTCACCCCTGAGGTCTAGATGGAGTGCCTCGTTTCCAGTAAAAAAGGGTCTCCGAATCTTTACACTCATCATACGAAACACAACAGTATTAAGCTGCTATTTTACGCTGTTATTCTGTGAGAGCGTGGTTCTTCCCCGGTAGAGCCGACCCATTCGTGCTACAACCATAATATAGCTGCAGCATGGCTCTATCACGTATAAAATTAACGTATAATATAATATTATCTATAAACTTCTACATGGGAAAGAATAATGAGTTTTGTGATAGCGTATTGTATACTTTACGGAATTAATTCCTTCAGGTGTGTTGTTTCATTTTGACTGCATTCGAACTATTTCTAAATCCATCCCAAATTTAGTGTTAGATATATTGCTCGTAATACGTAAAGTCTTTTGCGTATTGTATTTCAAACTCAAGGCATGAAATACAAAAAAGTAAGCAATTGTTATCAGAGAGTAACAGATTAGGTTTAAACATTTGATATTTGGTGGGTCATTTTTACACCATTAAACATGACAAGCCAGCGCGCAGTTCACCAAACGTTAAGTGGATGCTGGGCTGTGTTCCAAAAACTTCTAATCCTGAAAATGCAGATGTATTATCACTGATTTCTCTCGAGGACAGAGATGAAAAATCACTCAGCATTCGAAGCGTTATGCAGCTATTGCTCATTACGCTGGTATTGTGTGCGAGCGTGGTCTTTCTCTGGTCGAATAGATCAATTTGTGTCGCAGCCATAATACAACCGCAGCGGGGTCCTTCCACGTAGGAAGCTTAAATGATTCATTTTCGTGAATTTCACATTGCCGTCGTTAATCGAAACTTCGTTTTACATAACGTTCATCACGGCGTGCTTTTTCTTCAAAAGGTTTCCGAATTTTTTGTTTACTAAAGTTAACTACAAATTATGAAAGTCTTCCTACTGTAAGAAAGCTCATTGTTACGACGTTTAGTAATTATTATGAGACTTTTTTGTAATAGATCTGTAATTGTAATTTATGTTTTATTTTGTTTTTATTATGTGTGGCCACAATACTCGTCATGCCGCAAGTAATGCTCCTCGTCATGCCCATCCCTCTCTGTTTTATCGGTTTTTTGGGCGCGAGTCAAAGGACTGGTAATATGAGTGCAATAAACTGGCCACATGATCGCGGGAACGTAGTTCAAATCGAACGCTCGTTACGGTAGCGTCGTTCTATTGAGATGAATAGATGTCATCCATCCATCTCCGTTATCGAGGAAGACGACCTATAATTCTTTTTATGACATTGATATAATTAGCTGTACTAAATATGCATATAGCACGCATGCTTCCACAGTTTCAATAAGCATTGTGTTGGAAACCCGAGCGACCTAGTGCGGAGCGTCGCGATTAGTTGCGCGAGTAGAGCATTGTGTGGGCAGAAAGGGCAACATTGTGGTAAAGCCAGGAGCAGAGCGGTGAACAGCGCGAGGAGCATAGTATGCCGGAGCCATTAAGTTTAAAATAAGGTCATATAAATGACTTGACATATGGCATATGGCAAGTGAAATTTACCCCTCAACCGCCACCCCGATAATCTATTGGGGAGGTTATGTTCAGCATGGGCCTTTGATGGGCTGTAATGAATGAGAAAAATAAAAACTTACCTACAAAAAGGTACCTCTGATCATATAGCACACGAATGAAAATGGGCACGGAAGGTTTGCTCGCCTTACTTCCATGCATTTATTGCACTATTAAACATGTAATATGTATGTTTTGCGCTATAGACAGTATTAGGAAATTGCCACTGCGGTCAAATTCGGAAAGTCTTACGAGGACTCTTGGGTCTGGGTTAACTGTTGGCAAATGTTTCTATCAAGCTTAGAAATTTTGGTGTAATGGCCATATTTGCAGTTGGATTGGCGTTCGCAATAACTTTTACCGCTCTTTACCAGTTACAAAAAAAATTATTCTCTTTTTTTAAGTTCAAGACATTAAATGTTCTAGTCACTTCTTTATAATGTTCTCTTTAACCCTTTCTATCTATCCTTCTTATATTAAGGATTGTTCCGAATTCCTTCACAATTCCCATTCGAAAGGTTTGAGATCATCAGAAAATTTTACATTAAAAATGCCTATCTATAACAGCAAATTTTCGGACAGCTCGTTTACTATTCAAGCTGTCCATCTATGGAATGCCCTATCTCTGTCAGTCAGACGCACCCAGTCTTTATCAGTTTTTCAGTAGCTTGAACACAATCACTATCTTAATCTTTGAGTTCGTGCCATCTTTATATGTATACATTCGTATTGTTTGTATCTATTTGTTATTTATTTCTTTGCGTTATATGGATATATTTATAAATATTGTTTCTGCATCACAAAACCACACTGTTTACCGCGTTTTGCAATCCTATCCATCCAAAGGTTGTCAGGAAAAATACATAGCTTAGATTAGATAGCATTGCGACAAAAAATTATTTCTTCTTGCGTTTATGTATTGATGTGGTGTACAATAAAGAATTATCTATCTATATATCTATTTAATATGGAACCAGTAGCTTAGGTCGTATGTTGGTTACGAGTACCAGTGTGATACAAGTGGTAAAACTAAAAAAATTGTACAACCGACTTCAATATAAAAAAATGAGAATATCATCAATATAGTCGAAGTCAATTAAAATGGCATTATTAAGGATAACTGAAATGGATGGTCACATCTTGAAAAAAACTACAGTCGGATTGAGAATCTCCTCCTTTTTTTAAGTAGGTTGAAACAAGAAAAAATTTCCCATTTGTTTTTCGAAGGCGAATTTTTTATAGGATAAAGGTGACAATCGAGCACACAGTCCACCTAATGTCCTTGCCCGGTCGAGTCAACCCATTCGTGCTACAAATATACCACGTTAAAAATGTAAAACTTAAAAATAAGTTTATAAATTTGTTGAAAAAATCTAAAATTTTAAAATCTCAAGTTTATTTAAATTCTATTCGTATATATAGTGACCGTGAATGCAGTCGTGCGTTTCGTGATATTGAATTTTGTGTTAAATAAACACAGTAAAGTAATATAGTAATATAGCATATATAACTCAAGCACAAAATACGTGATTACAATAATTATTTAAATTTTTTTGCGATGCATGCTGACTTTAAAAAATGAGCCTATATCACTACATATTGTTTGGTAAGTGTAAAATTACCATTTTGTAAAAGTAGTTATAGGATAGTTGTATCAAACAATTATTTTAGAGATCGTAGGTTACTGACCAAACCTAGACTTAATTATTTTTTATATTTACGCGAACACTACACATTGAAGTAATACTAGTTTTTACGGATTTTATTGCGTATATTTAACTATAAATACCCGATGTTTCGAGTGCTTTACAGCACCGATGGTCACGGGGGGGGGGGGAGCCTGAGATGTTCAACGTTCAGATGTCATAGTA